CATGTCACTCATATGGCTTTAAAAACTAACACTGATTGTTTCAATCACACAGCACAAATGTGCTATTCTTACAGAATCGGTTGTGTGCTGGTGACTCAATTCCGAGTGAGGTGTGCCTTTAGTGTGTGTGCAATTAGTGCTGTCTAGTGTGCCGCTACTGGCGCAGCTTGGGTTTCTTCCAGGAAAAGCATATAGCCCGCAATAGATGCATACTTTGCGTGTCATCTCAATGAGCGTTGTGTGAGTCGAGCACTACCACCAAATCCTCGCACAGGTGGAGGCCAGACAGCGTTCACACGCAAATAACGCCCGTGGGCAGGAGAACTATTCATAGCGTCAAGAGCCACAGTTTCTCTGCATTCCATTGTCACACATTATAGGGATTATTCCTCTCTTCACAAAGTGTCGATTAGATTGTCACTTCCAGGTTCATAATGGCGGCTCTTCAAATTGTTCCCCATACAAAATTGGTATAGTTGCAGAAAACCCAGACCATTGTAAAATGTGTCTCCTCAAGGCACAAGGAGCTGAAACAATCTAAGGCACTTTTCTTGCTACTCTCACAATGAGGTGCTGAAGTCTGTCAGGTCCTTGGACACTCATTGTGTAAGTGCTATTCATAGGCGAAGAATAATAATCGTATTTTGTAGTCAAGTTTGCATATCCTAAAGCTTCGCTTCCATTCGATATTGAGCTGCGTTATTTTAAAAGCTCTTTAAGATATTTGAGATGGTTAAAATTTGGCCTAGTCTTGGTGTTGCCTTCGTCAGTCAAAAAACCTTCGTAACATTGAGAAATTAACAGAGTGTAAGCTGATGCGATCCAATAATCACTGGACCTCATGTCAAATTGAGTCACTTCAATTTCCATCTTTTCAAGAGACCGGATGACTTAGTTCTAATAGAAAAGCATCGACTAGTCGGGGGAAAATTAATTTTACGTAATTGTTTGAACTACAAATACCCATCACCAAGTTCTTCCAAATGACAGTAAGCGGAGGCACTTCAAAAATCTTCGTTAGAGGGGTCTCACAGGAGTCTTTAAACAGCACAAGGGAATTCTTACTTAACCTCGCTAAATTAAAGATCAAAGATGGGAAACAGGCAACATTTACATCAAGTTTACCGTTGATAAGTTTTTAGTTTTGTAATTTGCATGACTGTGATTTGGACTGCCTTTCACTTGAGTTGGGCAGGTACCGTGCAATCAATGCAGTTGTTGGCATTTGTTTTCGACCATCCATAGTAAAAGCTTTATGTGGACGATTCAAAATAATGAAACTGATTAAAATGTTTTTGGCGGTCTGTTTTCACGTCTACCGAAAGACTGCACTTTTTTGACAAGATGTCACTTGCACTTCAACAGTAAACAGCTCAGAGGCTTTTATTTAACAAGCCTCACGTAATAAGGATTTAGTAGCTTTCCAGAGGTTTGGACAAAATGTGCTCTGTTCGGCTCAAAGTGCTTTTTGTTGCGTTTTTTAATACGGGTTTCAGATGAGTCTGTATAAGCCTAGAAGAGGCATATTGTCGAGATCACCAAACCTACTACCTACTACCAAGCCAAACACCTTTCCCCAATCGTCTAGAAATGTTCATGATCAGCCGAGTAAAAGCTATTCGCATGCGCTTTCCCACAAACAACATGCTAACTAGTTGAAGTAAAAGTTCAACTATAAATGCAAAACTCTTCAAAGATGGGAACGTCGACTCAGACTGCACTCTTGAAGAACTGCTACTGGTAGCAATTATGTTAACAAGGCACGCCGTTGGGATTACTGTTGGATCTGATTATCAAAATAGCCCAAAAATGTTCTTGGTAGAAACGATTAGCTGGGCAACTTTGGTTACTGTTTATTTTCATTTGACAATGGGATAAAATATAGTTTCAGTGTTAAATAACTACGTTGGTTGACTTATTTTGAAATCATAATCACTGAAAAAAGGTTCCAAGTAAATGACTTCACAAAAATGGTATTCCTTTTCATTCGGAAGGTGATGTGCGTTTCAGCCATTGGTGGGTTCTTCTTTGAATGCCTACAGATTGCATGTCGGCAGAACACTTGATGATAGGCGGTTGTGTCGCCGTTCCCTCACCTCCTCCTTGTCGTCCCAACACCAAGCGCTCATTGACCAAATTTGGTGTGATTTTGCTCCGCTAATCTCAGTCCTCCAGCATCTTCTTTAGGCGAAACGCACAGCTCCACTTGAGGAAGAAAAGTCAACTTAAGACATGACGGCTTGGAGCTTTACAAGACAGGCTGTTTAAGGAACCAAATGTGTTCTTCCGGACTCATTCAGTCTCATTCATTTTCAAAGCTCTGCCTGCGCTCCAGTTTTCCCATACTTCAATAGTAAAGTTTGTTATTCACTCCAATGCCCTGTAGCGTGAATCCAGAGCACTCGTTAGGTCTACTAAATCATCTGAACTTCTTACTTTGCATATATTAATTTACAAGACTGGGCACTAGTCAATACAGCTCTTCATGGAACTCTGGAATGAAGGCTTGCTTAAAAAGTTGCCACCTAATTTGTGATTTGGTGAACAGATTATTCCAGGAAGAGTGGTTCAAAACATCATTTTGGGGCGGCCACCGCTGACCACCTAGTTCTGTCTTACAGCATGCTAAAGTTACCTACGTAGAGACAAACTACTGCACCGGACATATTCAAAAAAGGGCACCGAGGTAATCCATTTATGTCAAACCTGTTTACACCAAAACACAGATTTGTGAAATCCCAGCTGTGGATGTGGAAGATTTTCCCCTTTCTGTGGGGCTTATTCACTCTAGCAAGAGGTCTGTCTCCACGACGAAGACAAAGCAACCAATGAATCGTGTGTCAATGCATCACCAACAGGCACCTCTGATGGTTTCCAAGGTGTAGTAAGCGGAATTATAACCAGCAAAATTCATCCTTTTAGCCTGCCACTCAGGTGAAATTGAGAGGCGCTGTTAGATTTGCACAAAAGTAGGCATTTACGCATCATCAATTCCAATGTGCGACGTGCTCAGCCAGAGAATTTTCAACAGCATTACTGATACATATATCAGTAAATAGACTGCTATCCACTCTTACGAGGGCATACACCATAACAGCATCGACGGAAACGCCAAGATTTTAAATAATGAAGTGAGCGCCTACAAACCTAAATACAGGGCACGATCTCGGCCGGTCGATGCCCATGCTCAATCGCCAGGAATACTCCACCAGAAATGTGGCTGACCGCCTTGCCCAGTGAAAGTAGCCGCAAATCCGCCTTATAAAACTAATCAAAGCACGGCATAGGTTAAATCCATTGACAGGTCTGGGATATAAAACTGCATGAGATTTTAGTAAATGAACAAATAACAAAATATAAAATCGACAACGTGAATGTCAATTAAGATGAATGGTACATTGTGAGATGGAGTTTGTACAGAAACAAGTGTTAAAACAGAAGTGTTCTTGGCGCCAGTGTCGAAACCAGCTGAATGGGCAATATTTGACTATGTACAAGAAAGGATTCAATCAGTGGAAATCGAAAATGGAGTGAAATATTACTTGCATGACATCTGAAATCACCCCACTTATTTGTTTTTACTTTCACTAGATTCCTCTGTGCACTTCGTCACAATGTGGTAGGCTACTGCCGATTCTGGACAAGAACGGGAGGAAGGAGACCGAGGTTTCAATTCGGTTGAAGTAAAATCCGGGGTCTGAGGGGGCAAAACAGGTAACCGATGAAGATAAGAATGCGTTGTAGATGACACGGAATGTGCTAGGGAGGGTAGACTAGTAGTTGAAGGGCCGCTGCACCCCATCCGTGTGGAAAAAGGGACGGGGAGAAGGGGCGAAGAGGGAGTGGATACGGGAGGCGTGCATCGACTAGAATCGTGTGGAGGTGAACCAAAGTGCGAAGGCACATTGGGGAGGTTAATTACACCTTCCGATGATCTTAAAATCTTTCCAGATCTACAAAACGGGTGGGGGGACTCAGGAGAACTCTCACGACTAGCCTCTGCACTTGAAACCATATCATTGTTCTGCAGACATTTATAGGCACGCTTCTTTCCACGGTTGTTGCCAAATATCAGCGGGCTCGCACTGCTGCCACTACTTACACTTGCGGTTCGCTTTTTAGCGGTAAAGCTAGACGGGAGGCCAATGCTGGGGGAATAACACTGAACGCGTGATGAAATAGGAGAAGCCACGGGAGAAGGATAACAAGACGCTGATTGAGAGAAGGAAACAATGCCCGGGGTAGTGGCGATCGCAACCGAGGATCTAGATTCATTAGCGCTTGTGTTTGAAATCCCTCCGCCACCGGGGCATGTAACAGAGATCACAAGGGGGCCACTGAAGGAATTTTGACGGTGACCAACAGGGCTACTTCCCGAAGATCCAGGCGAAGAAAAACCACAGTCTGAATACTCTGGTTTATCGTTCCCCGTGAGACGAAGATTTGCCCAGGATGAAGTAAGACGAGAGGTCTCCGTTAGATGCCGTTCATGTTTCATCTCATTTTTAATGTGTTCCTCTGCTGTTACATAAAACTGTGCAGAGGACCTTCTCAATACTCGCCTTTTTTCAAAGCCTTGTTCCATAAATAATTCTTCGACGCAGAAGGAAGTACGTCCTGAAATAAAGCATGGATTCACTAGTAGTGATGCTACTGAAAATCTCTTAACCGAGGACTCCAATCAAAACGCCTCAGCCATTCTATTAATTACAAAGCACACTTGTCTTAAACCAGGAAGGTACCTAAAGAGTGGATGAATATTAGAGCGACTTTAATCATGAGAAGCAACTATGCACTAGGAAAATACCACTATATTGATGTGAGTAAAACAGTAACCATTACTTCAAGCTGACTAAAAACAAGCCCGAGTGCTATTCATGAGTAATGCAAGGCCCAAAATTTAAAAACCATTTACAAACATTATGGACATCCGAAACAGCACGCCGAACACGAACACCTCACCACTTAGGCCTCCGTTATAGGCGCGTTTTACACTAACTACTTTAAACCGAATAGATGAAAATCTAGAAACAAAATATATAAAACAAGAAAATGAAACAACAGAGATCACAGCTGTAACAACATAGATATATATGAGTTAGAATCATTTAGTAAAGTCGAAAGAAGCACTAATGATACGTCAGTGGTGAGATTTATTTATCCTTGAGATATTTGCAATTAAAAAGTAAGTTGGATTAAACCAAAATGAATGGGATTTATAGTTAATCATTTTTTTGCATAAATATTATCTAGTAGACTTATATGCTGAGTAACCTTTTAATATACTCTCACTTCTGTGTTATGCTTTGTTTCCCTAACTCTCAGTTATAGCAACAGGCCACTTAAGGCTTCTCTATTGTATCTCTACCAGACGACCTGACATCCGGGTCATGCTATTACACTCTGACCCCATTTCCACGTGGACATTATATATTCTGACCGAGTATTATGGATTATTTCATTTTCAAAGGAGTCTTCGGTTGCTACATATATGCTTAAATGACCTTGCGAAGTGTATTTTTAATCAAATAATTTCTGGAATAAATTAAATACTAGGTAAGCTTACTACGGCTTATTTGTGCATTTATTTAGTATATGTAATGCATTGCCCCATTCTGCTCCAAAATTGTTTCAAGTCTTTTTTGAGGTCGTAGAAAGTCATTGAGGTATGATGTGAAATGGGTTACTGAAGGGCTAAGAGGCTACTGGCGTGACCCAAAGGCCATGCCTTCGAGCCGAAGTAAAATCTACAAAGACTTATGCACTCGCGTAACCAAACAGGGCTGAGCTAAATTTTTGTTTTGCAGTAAAAAGCCAAGGTAGTATAAAATGGTATGTATTCATAACTTGTTAAAGAGTTGTGAGACTATCGTGATGGTGTGGAACAGCTATTAAGATTTAATAATTAAGCCCATTCCTGTTACAAGCCCTTTATTTTCCAAAAGTTAATGGATTGCAGCATAGATTTACACACTTGTGATTGATGGGACTGCAGAGGGACGGTTAACAGATAGAGGCCGGAGTGAAAGTAAGACCATTATACAAAATCTTTCACCAGCAGATGCAATAGCAGTTAGATGCACGAATTTTTTCTGTGCTCGTACTTATTTGCGTTATGTAAACTAAGGTAAGCGAATTAACGCTACATCTCACGGGAATCGTACTCAAAATGTACACGAACATTCCTTACTTTTAAAACCAGATGTCTTTGAAGACGGAGAATGGCCCTTCTTCATCAATATTGGGTTTGATTGTACTTACAGTGATGTACATCACTTGACCAAAATGGATTACGCGGCTTTTGATATAACTTGCCGGAATGATTTTTGGTAACCAATAACCTACTTACATCATAAAGAGTAAATGTGCCTCAGTCCAACGGTA